GAAGCAACACATTAACAAGAGAATTCTGAGTAAAACCAAAGTTACTTTCCCTAGTAACTAGTTACTTTGAAAGTAACGAGTAACTTGAAGTAACTGAGTTACTTTTGATAGAAGTAACTAGTAATGTAACTAAGTTACTATTTTAAAGTAACTTACCCAACACTGGTCTTGATTTATTTTCTTAAATAAATTTCATATATTTAATGTAACAGCTGTTTAACATCATTTTAAATCTTTGGTATTTAAAAAATATATATTTTTGTTTAGTTTTGGAGTACAATTTCCATAACTCACAACCTAATTTCAAGTTAGGAATCTTATATTTTTGAGGGGTTTTTTTTCTTTTTTTAATTTGAGTTAGTAAGTTGAAAATTCTTGCTATATATGTATGCTGTATGTATTCATTATTTTTTCTAAAACTCTCCTGCTCAAACCTGATAGAGTGCAATAAAAATGGCACAAGAGTTAAAATGCTCATACAAACATTTTTACAAGGCATGTTTACAGCCTGTTAAAATAATAATAATAACAATAATATTAATAATAATAGTGACCATTTGGAAAACATCACCATTATTAAGCACCAGTCTAGCTTGTTCTGCTCCTTAGCAGTTTGTGGTCTGCCCACCGTAGGCTGCCATTATCACAGCACATGATCTCAGCAGCAGTCTGTGCAGATGGGTATCTGGGTAGCGCTTGCAGGTTATGTTTTCAGCAATATTTTCCACTGAACCCTGTTATTATCTCTGAGTTAGCACGCAAAAAGACCACAGTTCTCTCTGCTAGAAACTGATTGCAATCGCAGCAATGCACATGCAAGTGTGGGGGCTGGGTGAGGAGTTTACAGATGAAAAGCTTTTTGTCTCTGCTTGTTGCCACAAAGAAATGAATTTCTAAATCGGGTTACTTGTCTTTATACTGTGACACTGATATCTGTATTTGTAATTGTCATACTTTGTAAATCCAAACTTTCAACAAGGTTTACATATAGACACAAAAACACATCATATGTTTATACATATATAAAAATGACAAAGGGCAGCGCTAAGTGCCAAATTCACTAGTGATATAATGATATAAGAACAAACCGTCAATGAAATAAAAATCGCTAACAGCAATGAAATGGTTAAATGTACAGTTCTGAAAAAGACATAACAAGGTTTCCAGTTGTTATGAAATAAATAATTCTTAGTGCTTATTTTCTGTTTGTCTGTTTGTTTTATAGAGGCCAGAGTAACAACTTGGACTTAAATATTCTGCACTGTGACAAAATCAAGGCTATAATGCAGTGACATTCCCACATTTCAGTGTCTTCTGCTATAATAGCGCATATATACACACAAGGGTCATCCCCACAGCAAACACTACAGTTGTTGTATCCCTTTGTTCTTGGATTATATTGAACAACCTTTCTTTGTGTGTAATTGCTCTCACGGTTAGGAAAGGGAGACAAAAGGCACATGACCTGCTAAAATAGAATAAAAATAAAAATACATGAGCGTAATATTTACATGATCATGAATTATT